GTAGAACTCTGCCGAAGGTGGCCTCGGCACTGTTTTGTTCTTTACTGCTTTTTGTTCCTGGAGCATCACATCTAAGTAACAGTTTTCTGCAATCTTCACTTTTGTTCGAATAAAATTCAGCTAATGGCCCAGTATAGAGCCAGGAAGCCTTAATCAAATGCACTGAACACTTGAATTCAATCCCAGGAGCCCACGTGGAAGGAGGGAGTCAACCTTACAGGTTGTCCTCTGGCTTTCACATACGCATACCCCACCGGTACAATAGTAGTTACGAATAGATATGTATTTTTAAAGAAAGTAAGCAATATTAGCGTAGCTCTGTTTTTGACTTAACCTCTGACTACCACTGCCTCTGTTTATGACTCAGCTTGGAAATAAAATGGAGCTGGAGTTACAGGTAGGGAGAGGTTGAATGAAGATCTATTAACATGCCCTTTTGGAAATACAACGTACATTTTCTGTAGTGATACAGTATTCATATATATGATTGTGCAGCTGTGACACCGAAATGAAATTTCACAAGCCGGGTATGGGGTGGCTCACACCTGTAAGTAACATCATTGCGGTTTGAGGCCGTGGGATTGCTGAGTTTGAAGAAGCCAAAGGCTGATGAAGTAGGATTGCTATTTGAGGTGGGTCTATAAATTAATACAGATTTAGAAAGTAATGTTTCTAGCTTTATTTTTCTGTTATGAATATTTGTAGTTAACCATTGTACCTTGCTGTCTTAGGTTACTCTTAGGAACATTACTGTGCATGGGTGACCCACATCTGAATCCCAGTATTCAGGAGGCAGAAACAGGCAGATCTCTGAATTCTAGGTCAGCCAGGGCTATACAGTGAGACCCCCATCACAAAAAAGAAAACTGCAATAAGCAATGAGTTAAGTGTTTACTTTATATACGGAACACCTACACACACACACACACACACACACACACACACACACACACACAAAACAATGGCCAGGGATGGTTCCTAAATGAGACTGCAGTAATAACAATGATGTTAAATGTTGTCATCCCAACCCCAAAAGTACTAATAAGCAGACAACCTGTGTTCGGGGGAAAGTTAATTCACCCTTGGATGCCATGAGTATAGTGTCTGAGCTACAGAAACGATCTAGTGCGGAGAAACACAAAAGTGAGTCGATAACCTAAGAGGGGCGAAGAAGTGTACAGTCTTGGGGGACAGGGAGCATGGTGGTCTAAAAGAATAAAACCTGTGGGAGGTAAATTCTGCTCTGGAGGTTAAGGGAAATTATTATTAAAGGGTCGTATGGGGACCCTGCAGAGAATGCCCACAAGCACAGATTCGTGGCTGATATGAACTAGGCAAATTAGAAAGTTTGATGTTGACAATAAAGCAAAAGCTATAAGAGATAGAGCCCTCTCCTTTAGTTTTAAATATTTCTGATATACTACTGAATTCCAGATCTTTATGTCTGTCTGGGACTTACCCCCTCTATGTGACCCCTGGTCTGAAATCAAGATTTCTTGTAGGAATACAAAAAAGAAAAACAAAACTAAATACGTGTCCTAGATCCATCACTCAGCAATTCAACTCTTTACTGATCCTTGTCTTAATAAATAACATTAATGTCTACCTACTAGGACATGCCAAAAGAATGTGGCATCTGTCACCTAGTATTCATTTTTATATGCCATTATTAAAGCAAAACTAAGTTCTTATATGGGAGATGAGGTGTGCTAGGGTTTATAAAGTTTATTTAGAGGATGACCTGACCACACTGTGATAGCCAGCATATGGAATATTGTCAGAAACAGAATATTCATGTACATGTATCTGATCACTGCCGATAAAAAAACATTTCATGTAATTCTAACTGAAAGGCTAAAATTGTGAGATGCATACCAAGTATTGATCAGTGAACCTGAAAAAACAAAACCAAAGCCTGTGTGAGTGTCTTAGAGTTTGTAAGAGAGCTTCGTGTTGCTCTGTGGAAGGACAGAATGCTGCTTACTGTACAGTCAACGGGTAGCTTAGCCTGGATCCAAAGATAAACCCTCCATCTGCATTAGGCCCCGCAGGCCTTCCTTCCAAAATATCCCTCTTCCTTTCCAGAGGTCACTTCCTTGGAGAGGGACTTTATTTTGCTTTAGGAATTCATGCCAACATGAACACTATGATATTATCAAACAAAATTTTTACTTTGTGTTTGTGTGTGGTATATATGGTAATGTGTGCATGTAGTGCAGGTGTGTGGCCAGGGGTTGACCTTGGCCTGATCACTTCCTGCCTTATACTTCAGTTGAGGTTCCCTCTTCTAACCCAGAGCCGAGGGGCTGGCTCAGTAGTCAAGTGAGCCAACTTATCTCTGCCTCCTTTGTGGTGGAGTTACAGGTGGGCACGTGATTGCTAGGGACCAGAACTCTTCACTCTGGCACAAGCGCTTTTTTTCAATAAGCCCACTGACAAGTTGAGACAGGATTGTTACGTAGGCCACTTGGCCAGGAAAAGCTGAATGCTTTGCTAAAAAGGAAAATGAATGTTAGACAGACAGATGGACACTCAAACTCAAGGATGGCCTTCACAGGCCACAGGAAGCTGGTTCTGGTGCTCTGGCTCATCGTGGCTTTTGCATCCTCCACATGGTTTTCTTCCTGTTTCTCCATCCACTTATTCATTTATCTGAGGATCCTGAAAACATTATCAGGAGTATACCAACTAACACAAATTCACTTCATGGGCCTGGAGAGATGGCTGAGCGATGAAGAGGCCCGTAGCTCTTCAGAAAGACCTCAGATCTCTAGCACCACATGGTGGCTCATATGAGGGTCCAAGGAGACGCTGAAGGAGACCCCAGACTCAAATAGTACGCAAAAGCAAAGAGCGTCTATTAATATTCCAGCATATGTGGGGTCGTTGGCCTGTAGAAAATGGCCATGCCTCCAAGAGGATCGTGGAGGCTCCTTTTAAGCACAGCTAAGGGGTGTTCCAGATGTTAAGTCATGTCACCTACAGTTGGTTAAGCGAGCAGCAGTTACATTAGTATACTTTTAATGGGCTGAAATTTAGTCTTATTTCCGCACATATTTGCACAAGTTTGGGCAACTTCTGACGTGACTCAGAAAGGGGCTGCTGGATTTGTTCTTGAGCAATGATGACTGACCTGACTTCGGCCTGTGTTTGTTTTCTCCTCTCCCAAGAGGAAGGCTCTTCGTGGGAGAGATATCTGTTTTGCCTTCCTCAGAGAACAGGAACCTTAACTCAACCCTCTAGAACTCCAGTCGCAGGGGACGCAATGCCCTATTTTTGGCCTGAGAGCACCAGATACAAGTGGTGCAGATATGCAAAGATTAAACACGCAAACACTTTTGAAGCACATCTCTACTTGCTAGTTTCTAGCATGAAAACGGAGACAAAACCTTAGGCTTCACACATACCAAAAATGAAGATGGCTTTGGAGTCTATGGCTTCAACGGCTGCTCGAGTAATTAGAAAACAGCCCTGTAAGGACTTAAGCAACAAATTTACCACCAAATGCTCTTAGGCACCACTAGATCCAACACTAAGTAATGACCTCCAACACAAATACCTGAACAGCTCAGCTGGTGAAACAGTATTGTTTGCCAAAAGAAAATAAAAAACCAAGGACTAATCGCCCACCTGCAATCTACGAAGGTACACTAACTTGGGTAGGAAGAAACTAGTTAAGAAAGGAAGCTAGTGCTGTCCTAAGAGAGTTCTAAAATGCCAACGCTCAAAAAGGCAAACAGTTCTTTCAGTGCAGATATGGGTGGCTCTGAAAAGAGCCTTTGGAAAGACTGTATAGACCAACTTAAGCCCTCTCCCCACGGATGCGGCGGGCCAGCTGGATGTCCTTGGGCATGATGGTGACCCGCTTGGCGTGGATGGCGCACAGGTTGGTGTCCTCGAACAGACCCACCAGGTAGGCCTCGCTGGCCTCCTGCAGCGCCATCACGGCCGAGCTCTGGAAGCGCAGGTCGGTCTTGAAGTCCTGCGCGATCTCGCGCACCAGGCGCTGGAACGGCAGCTTGCGGATCAGCAGCTCGGTGGACTTCTGGTAGCGCCGGATCTCGCGCAGCGCCACGGTGCCGGGCCGGTAGCGGTGCGGCTTCTTCACGCCGCCGGTGGCCGGGGCGCTCTTGCGGGCGGCCTTGGTGGCCAGCTGCTTGCGCGGGGCCTTGCCGCCGGTGGACTTGCGGGCCGTCTGCTTGGTGCGAGCCATAACTGCTCCAACTACAGCTTACAAAAAGTCTGAGCAAACAACTCCCGCGACCAAAATTTATACAGACGAACGGATTCTGATTGGTCAAAATGGCTGCAAGAACAACTCAATTGGCTGTTGAGTCCTTTTGTTTTCTGCAGTCTGATGATTTGCTTTTTGAGCAATAGTGTGGAATTCCCCTAAAGAAAAGACAATTCGACCGGGTATTAGTGGAAAATCAATGTCATTTTTCTTAAAGCATTTTTTTACAACATTGTTTCAGACTATATGAAAAGGTAATGTATTAGGTAGTGACTTTTAAAAACGGCTTTAAATGATTAACACATGGGCCCCTGCAATTTGTGAACTTTAATTTGCACAGAGCGGAGGTGGAGAGGGGGAATGGAAATGTGCTTAGCTGTGATACCACGAAATGACTTGACATCCTTAGCTGGTTTTGATGTTGGCAAATGGCGGCTGAGTTGTCAGTCATGCTCATAATCAGCATTCAAGTGAGGACCTTACATAGTGATTAGTTGTTTCCCTATAAATGTGCAGTACTAAGTGTCTTGAGTTGAAATGAACATTTAAATGGTCAAAGTACCAGTCTTAACCTCTAGAAAACATTCAACCTTTAGTTAGCACACCTACAGGGGTTAGCCAATTTTCGACTCAATACAGAGGTAACATAGTTTCAGTGGTTTGAGCAAACCGTGGGGCAACACATAGAACAAATCTCATAATGCACCTAACAGGCAGTCAGTGTTCAGTTCTTTTGGAGAAAGGGTGAGTGGCTCTGAAAAGAGCCTTTGGCTTAGCTAAAAGGTTTGTTTTCAATCTTATTTTCCCTTGGCCTTGTGGTGGCTCTCGGTCTTCTTGGGCAGCAGCACCGCCTGGATGTTGGGCAGGACGCCGCCCTGCGCGATGGTCACGCGGCCCAGCAGCTTGTTGAGCTCCTCGTCGTTGCGGATGGCCAGCTGCAGGTGGCGCGGGATGATGCGCGTCTTCTTGTTGTCGCGGGCCGCGTTGCCAGCCAGCTCCAGGATCTCGGCCGTCAGGTACTCCAGCACGGCCGCCAGGTAGACCGGGGCGCCGGCGCCCACCCGCTCCGAGTAGTTGCCCTTGCGGAGGAGCCGGTGCACGCGGCCCACGGGAAACTGCAGGCCGGCGCGGGACGAGCGGGTCTTGGCCTTGGCGCGAGCCTTGCCGCCCTGCTTGCCGCGTCCAGACATGGTAGAAAACTGGCTGTCACAAACTGCTCAGTCAGTAACGAGAAAGCCACACTGGCGCTATTTATAGTCGGCGCAGGGCGCGAAAACGAAGCGATTTCATTGGTTACATATAGAAGTTTCACCTAAACCAATGGCATCGTGGTTTCGAAAATCCCTTGCTTTGATTGGACAGTTAGTGAATGACGTTTGCTATTCGCGATCAGCACAGCCACAAGTCTGTTTAAAAAGCAGCCAGTGCAGACTACGTTCTGACTCTTAGTTGCTTTTTACTTTTTTTGCTTGTCTCTTGTTCATCGCTATGCCTGATCCCGCGAAGTCCGCCCCCGCCCCGAAGAAGGGCTCCAAGAAGGCCGTGACCAAGGCCCAGAAGAAGGACGGCAAGAAGCGCAAGCGCAGCCGCAAGGAGAGCTACTCGGTGTACGTGTACAAGGTGCTGAAGCAGGTGCACCCCGACACGGGCATCTCGTCCAAGGCCATGGGCATCATGAACTCGTTCGTCAACGACATCTTCGAGCGCATCGCGGGCGAGGCGTCGCGCCTGGCGCACTACAACAAGCGCTCGACCATCACGTCCCGGGAGATCCAGACGGCCGTGCGCCTGCTGCTGCCCGGGGAGCTGGCCAAGCACGCCGTGTCCGAGGGCACCAAGGCCGTCACCAAGTACACCAGCTCCAAGTGAGCGGCGGACCTCACCGAAACCCAAAGGCTCTTTTCAGAGCCACCCACGGTTTCGTATGAAATAGCTGTTACATGTATTAATTTTGGGAAATCAGTCCTGTTTGATATTCCCACTCATGCTCTAAAGCTTTATTTACCCTTTAGCCAGGCAAGTTCCCCCTTTCCGGGGTAATAGGAATATTTGAATAAATTGGGGTCGACCTTTATTTTGTCAGCTCTATGCTGACAGGGTAATCAATCTGATTACAGATGGGCAGTTTAGGTACCCTCTCCACTATTGCTAGAGGTATTAGCTGGGGTCATCCTTGTGGATTCCTGGGAGTCCCTGCCACCAGATTTGTCCCTAACCCCCACGTCCACTCCCACCATCAAGACTTTTCATTACTCTCCGCCTCCATCTTGCTCCCAACCCACCCAACCCCATCTCATGTTCCCATCATATTCCCACCCCACACCGGTTAACGAAAGGAGATGTCTTCTATTTCCCCTTCCCAGGGAAATTCATGCATCCCTCTTTGGGCTCTCCTTGTTACCTAGCCTCTCTGGGGCTGTGGCTCATTGCCTGGTTATCCTTTATTTTACACCTAACATAACCACTTATGAGTGAGTACATATTATGTTTGTCTTTCTGGGTCTGTGTTACCCACTCAGGATAATTTCTAGTTCCATCCATTTTGCCTGCAAATTTCATGATGTCATAAAAACTCATTCTTTTCTACTTATATTACCTTTGTTCTGTTTTTATTTTTATTTATTTATTCTTAACTGGCAAGGAAAAGTTTTATACATTAGTTGGAACACAATGTGATGTTTTGATATGTGTATACATTGCCGAATAACTAAATAAAGGAAGTTACGATACCAGTCGCCTACTTGCCTCTGTGTCTTGTGATACACTCTCTTCTACCTGTTTTTCCTCAGTCTTGTCTCTAAAATTCCCTCCCTTTTCTCTAGTGGTTTTTCCCTTCTCTTCTGTCTTACAAGATATAAAAGGGATGAGGGTAAAGGTAACATGAATCAGCCCGAGGACTGATTCCTAGTATAGATCCCTTGGCAAATGAACTTCTAAGGTTTTTTTTTTTTTTTTTTTAAATCTCTCTTCTCTCCCTTTCTCTCTTTCTCTTCTCCAGGCTATTTTAGACAAAGCAGGGATCTCCAGTTGCTTTTAAAATGTCTGTCTAGTGAACTGATGACCTTTTTTCTTTATCTCCACTCTCGTTTGAGAACCAGAGAGAACTGTTTCTTTCTGACTTTAAGGAAATCAACAATTAAGACTTTAAGCAGAAAAAAAAGGTGTCAGTTTGTATTCCAGAAGGCAGCATGTATTTTAAGAAGAAAACCATCAGTACCAGCCTTAGATCTTATTATATTTGTATTTTCCCCCTCTGCAAGGTCTCCAGATGCTGCCCAGCCAATTCATTGGCTGAAGTCATCCTCCATGCCTGAGCACCTACAATGAGAGGCAAAACTTCAAAATTTCAGTCATTACTTCTGTGTCACAACCTCTGAACTCTTCCCTGTAAAATTCTTCATGTGAAGTAGCAGTTGCTGGGTCAGGTCCATTTCATGACGCCCAGTGACAGCACAGGTCCTCTGCAGTTGCCCTGAGTCTCTGTGTGCAGGATTTAGAAGGGCTAGTGCTTCCAAGGCCTGATGCTGGAGAGTCCACTGGTTACTGGGAGATAAACGCAGCCAGGCCTGACACCGGAAACTTGGCTTGGAACAGTATCAGTGATTCTTCACAAAAGAGATGAGTTGTCAGAACAGATTGCCAAAGACTTGGAGGTGGACAAAGACAATTCCAGGGGATCTTATGCCCTTTCAGGGATTAACCTAACTATAGTAATGGGGGTCTTCGGCTGCCTTTGATGGTCAGGATATCTTACAACTCAATAGAGACTGACTGTAACTGATAAGATGCCCGTTTTTTCCAGATGTTGACTGTGGCAAGAAGGTGAGGCTGATAAGTGGGTCTCAGTCCCCCTCTCCTTCTCCAGACCTCACCAGTGACACTCAGTTCTCTGCCCGGAGACTGTTGCCCCACACAGTTTCTAGTCCTGTCTAGGAAATTCTGAGGTTGGGAAATCTCCATACTCAATGTCCAGAGCTCTAAAGTGTGTAAATGATTTGAAGAATGAGAGGCTGTAGCGCTGCCCACCACACTCCACTGCCTTCTGTGTAATTTTCTGGAGTGTCTACTCTTCCTGCTCCCTTCTCTCTGAGTTAGAAGTGATCTCAAAGGCACTTCCATCAGAAACAGCCTGTTTCTAAAAATGCCTCACTCACAAATGTGAACTCGAAAAGAGTTGTTTCAGCCTTGGGAAAAGGATTTGTTGTACAAAGAAAATGTGCTTCCCTTGAAAGCAATCTTCCCATAGGTGCTCTCTCTCAAAATGACTCTGTGTTGTTTGTTGAAACAAGGTGTCATATAGGCCAGCTGTCCTTGAACTGGCTATATAGTCAAGGACAACTTTGAACTCTTGATTCTTCTGCCTCTAGGCCCTATGCTGGCTCAAAAGTACCTTCACACAGCTGTTCTCTTTTGATTTTATACTTGCCGTGTTGAAGTAGAAGAGACTCAAAGTAATGGGATTCATGTTATAAAGGATTTGTTAATAGATTTGCTTGGGAGACATAAAATCACACAAAGTAGAATTAGCTAAGGGGCACCGACTCTCAGAATAAGTAGTATGCTTAACCAGGCCTGTTAGAGATAAGCAAAACTTCCGGTGCTAGGATGGAAATGTTGGTTCACTAGAAGTGACCAGCCGTTAAGCCCATTCCCCCAAAGAACATGCCTCAACCTGAATCACTGAGTTCTTCTGGTCTGCCCTGTGGAGAAGTCTAATTCTACAAGGTGGGCAAGATGGACCTGGATGACGGCTACATGGAAAAGAACAATACTGGTGTGCTACAGAAATAGTTCCGGCATTATCTTTGCTGTGTGAATCTCCCACTTGCAGCCTCCTGTCTTTTTAAATTGTTCAAACTGTAGCCTGGGCGGGACCTCAAAATGTCGTTTAAGGATGATAGTGTTGTAGAATGCATAAACCTATAGTGTACGGACGTTGGGAAAATCTTCTGTTCTATACCAACTCTTGCTCGGGCATTTGCTAAGAGCCAGATAAGCCCTGTTATCCTTCGTCTCTGTGCAGAGTGCTTGCTCATTACAAGGACATACTCTTTCTGTAACAGTATTAGTTACTTTTCGACATTGCTAGGACCAAATACATACCCAACCACTACCAACAGCAACTTAAGAGAGGAGAGGTTGGCTGTGGCATACAGGTCTAAGGGGTCAAGTCAGAGAAGTCATTGTGGCAGACACTTGAGGAGGGACTGGTCCCACGGGTATGCATAGCCAGGAAGCTCAGCTCACTTCTCCTTTGGACTCAGTGCAGGACCCCAGTTCATGGAATGGAACTGCCCATGTTTAAGGTGGGTCTTCCCATCTCAATTAAGCTAACCTAGATAGCTCCCTACAGATGTGACCAGGGACTGCCATCCTCCATGACTCTAGATCCTATTACTTTGACAATAATAACCACATTTGCTAATAGAAAATTCCATACGGAAGGAGAGCTCATGCTTGTAAATAATTAGGAGGTCAATTGAATTCGCCGCTTAAAAAAAAAAAAAAAACAAGTTCTGTAAATGACTATCACAATATCCACGAACAAACTGAAAATTCATTTCTTAAATAGGGCCCAGAACAGAAATCATATTTCGTTTCTCTACAATTGTTTTAGATAAACTGAGTCTGTGTTCAGTCTGTGAGGTTGAAAACTGAGAACTGGAGTGGATAATATGACTGCAATGGTTTTGGAGAATATTTCCATTTTATGAGTCTCATCTGTCTATCTATCTATCTATCTGTCTGTCTGTCTGTCTAACTCTCTATCTCTTTCTTCCTCAAAATTCCCTCTCCTCCTCCTCTCCCTCCTTTAAATATGAGACCTATAGTCCATGTGTTATAATGTGAAATAAATAGATCAATGCCATTTGATTATTTTTGTAATCCTTGAAGAACAATGTTAAATTCTGGTGCACGATGAACTAGATATCACCGGTATCTAAGATGTGTCAAGTGTCACCAGGCCGGGCTCATGGTACAGTGGAAACTACAGAGCAGGAACAGATTAACCCCGGTCGGTCCTAGAAAATGAGCTTCCCACACTGCCAAGGGGGTAAAGAAAGCACACCACACTGAGCTGGTGGTAGTAATAAGTGGCAAGGAGGAAAACGGAGCAGGAGCAAACGGCTACTCGTTGTCACTTTCGCTGACACTCTAAATCCGAGTTATAAGTAATAGCTATAAGTAGCAGCTCCTCTGAACTGTGCGTTTGTATTATGCAGTCTGGTGGCGTACAGACGTGCTATTTTGGACGCTGGGTTTAATATCACCGTTCTGAGATTGTTACCATCTCCCAGTTATATGAAACCGCGTTTTTTGAGCTTGAAGGAATATTAATCGCATGACGCTTTAATTGGTATTATTTTCCGCTTCTATAAGCAAACGGTAGAAAGTTGATAAAAGTTTAGTTCTATAGATTTTCTTTGT